GTAGTAATTTATATCGAAATATTATATCGATATTAAATATTAATATAAAAAAAGGTTGCAATAAGAATAAAATAGATAAAACTGAAATAAAATAAAGAAAAATGAGTGGAAACAAAAACAATAAATATTATATGTTAAAAATAGTTTTTTTTTAATTTTTTGTTCAATTGAAAATTTGTTCTTGAAGAGTTCATGTTATGCAAATTACTTCGTTACTCTACACTTTACGAATTGATAAGGAAAGTTGCTCAGAAAAAAGTGACATACTAGTAGAGGGTGTTCGTAGAGTTTCTCAGTTAGTGGCAGGAAAGAAATCATTTGACGGAGAAAATGAAAATAAGAGACCAGATGTGTCCCGGACAAAAACTCGCTTCTGATTGTCACATCATTTTCTTTTTCCGTTCTTCCCTTTTTCTTCGAGCTCTCAATACCTAGTCAAACCATCCGTGGTTTTTATATCCAAGTCTTCCAGCATGTAGATTTTCATTCGCAACGATTCTCAATTGTATAAAGATAAAATTGTAAAAGTTATCATGAGTTTTCCACACGCGATGGTTAGAGATATAATTTATAAGCTTTATCGTAATATCAAATAGGTTTCTTTTCTCTAAAATAGTGACTTATATAGTACAGATTATTCCAGTAATATTGCTGCAAGCTTTTATGCTATATGGGTGAATTTAATTCGCTATGTGATTATATATTTTCTTCTAAACTAATCTTTGATTGTGATCAGTAACTATATTTTTTCATAGAATTGCACTTGAGATTAAGAGCTTATTTTCCCGATTGCTAAACTACGTCATAGTAGTCTTTTTACATGAAGGATCTCCGATTTCATAATCCGGATATTATTAGCTAAATTTTCCGTGCAGCCTCGCGCGGTCTTTTTATGATCTTGTAGCACTGACGAAGATATCACAGGTCCTCGTGTAACAGCGGAAGTTTCGCTTAACGATGAAAGTACCGCAAACTCATAGCGTGAGCCGATAGGGTCGGTTAATTGTTCTTAAAGAAAATTTCTCGGACGATAACCAGAATGTCACTTTCGATCTGCGGAATAAGATGTGAGATAATTAATAACATTGATAAGAATGTGAAGTAGGGAAAATATAAGCGAGGATTTTAAGGATAAATTCGAAAGACAGAAACGCGGTCTTTTTGAGCTTGCTGTTGATAACGATGAGATGTGGACGGTTTATCTTCTTTCCGCTCAGAGATGGTCTGCGGATCAACCTAGACGCGCCTAAAACTTACATCAAGCTAATGAAAGCCTCGCTCTCTTCCGTCTTCCATCTTTTAGACGTTTGCGTTCCGTTCCACCGGATATCCGCTTGATCTCCTACGCTGCTTTTATTTGTTCACTATTTTCAAACTTTTAACGCCGGTTAGGTTTCTCTTGACTGTTTATTAAGAAAACTTTCTACGAATATCTAAACGCATGTGATGACGACATATTTTTCAAATATTATAAAGACATTTATATGTGAGCGATATATATGATCAAAGTGCCATAATAATACATTTTTTATTCGCGCGTTTCATGCAGTGGATAAAAGAAGATAATATTGTTATATATCATCTTCTGCGAAATAATTTTATGCAAAAGTGGAAAGATGTTAATGCAAAACCTTTTACTCGGATAACTGTATTTGTTATTGTTTTATACTAGTATAAATAAAAATTGTTTCACTTATAATTGAACTAGAACATTGTATTTATTTTTTCTATGTATGAAATTATCCCCAAAAAGAACATGTGCAAATATTTTTTTTATCCGTTATATGTTGTATATATATTCGCGGTTTTGTACAACCATTTTTCATATTCACTGACCTAAAGGTCGTTTATTCGCAGAGAGTTGATATGACTGCAGTTCGTTGTAGTTGCACTTTTTTCCGAAATCCTTTTTAAATTTAAAAATCTTTGAAAATTGAAAACAATATTTTAAACAGAATCTCTAATATGAATGATATGAATATATAAATGAGATAACAAGTATCAAAATAAACGTATTAAAAATACAAGAATACGATTTAAAAAGAAACAATTGCATTTCGAAGTTGCACGCTTGCATATAAATACTAGGATTATAAAGAATAGAACTTGTGACATTATTTGTTTCATAATGGTTTTTCTATATCTATTAGCGTTTCAGAGTTATTATCTAGTCTATTTTGATAGGATATCTTGTATATCATTTGTAATATAGTATCGCATATCATATTTTCGTACAAAGATATATTGCATGCAACTGTGCTCTGATTAAAGCGATTTATTCTCTATTGCTTGAAATCAAACATAAATGCATCATAGACTGAATGTATTGTATACTGGAAAATTATAGGCAAAGTAACGAAATGCCATTTCACACGTAAATCGAAGATAACATCGATAAAAGCAAAATAATTATAGTCGAATATAATTGCTATGTTTAATCTGAAATTTTCATGGAAATAATGTGCGAGAGCACTGATCAATAGTGCCGTACTGAATGAATATTATATGTGATAATATAATTTTCGAATAGTTGCTTTCTTCTACAGGAAAAAGTACATTGTGTTATTTAAATAAAATTTAAAGTGTGTTTATCGATCGTATCAGTACGTATTAGTCACGTGCTAAATGATATTATTATTGTGATACGATTTTATTTTATTTACATATTGTTATCAAAAATTGAATTATATTGTGTAGTAAAAAGTAAATTTTTTTATATATCATTTATATATGCGTCATATACATCATGTAATATTTTTGGATAAATATACATGTATCGAATATTACTATAGAAATTATTATAAATATCCATTATTTAATGCGTGATGCTGCCTATCCAATTAATATAAAAATTCAACATTTTTAAATGCACTTTTCTCTTATTACTTGGCAACGTTACCATCACAAATCCAATCTTTCATCAAGATTAAAATTACATTAAAATGAACATCGGTAAAATTTGAATTTAAATTACTTCTTCCATACGTATTTGTTTTATACATTCCAAACGAATTTTTGTTCGAGACATATACACACGTATGCACATTGGACATCGTGAAGAATAAAAATTCACCAACTTCATTAACAAGCACTCTTGCGATTCCGCATTTTAAATTTGTTATTCTCAAATGTAATCTGTTTTATTTTCCGTATCGCAATGTAATAAAGAAAGAAATATTCTAAAAAATAACCTAACGATTAATAATATTTCCCACATATACGTAACTGTATCATTAAAACGATATATTCACGTTGAAAAAACGTAGTTTGTTCGTATCACTGATTACGTTTCACGCGGATATTATTCTTGGATATTATCCGCTTGCGGGATATCGCATTCGGACGTTTTCGAGTGACGCGAGATTACGAAATCTGGAAGAGTATGTCCAAACTCATCCCAGTAGTTTTACGCTCTATTTCGTGTGAGCAAACTCACCGGTGATTTTTCACGAAAATTAAATGTCACGTGAAATGAGTGCACGGCACATCTCCGACTTGCTTCTTGATAAAGAATGGGTGATATTATTCTAATGGTGCTGCAGCCGCATCCTACATGATTCTACCATCAACCGTGCTCATCAGTCTTGTATATCGTATGTTTCGTTCCGCGATGTTACTCTTCGGTAAACGTGGACTGTATGTTTCTATTATACTGTTTTTGCACGCTACGGTTGTTATTTAATAAAAGAAATTTGATAGGTCGGGCTATACATTTTGCGTAAACCTTACCTGCGAGAGTTATGTTTAGAAATCGCGAGTCGGGTGAAAAAAAAATAGTATATAATGCATTAAAACACGCGATGTTTTTAAAAATGATATTTACTTATTCGGTTATTTATAAGTATTTACTTAGTGAAAATTGTTTTAATCAATTATCATTTGTTTGCATATTGCACTTGTGCGAGTAATTTAAATTTCTTTTATGTACATGAATGAAATATAAAATTAATATCCGTTATCCGTTACATACTTACGCGACATTGGCAAAATGTATATGCATGTCTATAAAATATTATAATATAACATGTGAAATAGTGACTTTTTGATGATAATATGTTGCTTTTGATTTACGTCACGTTGTATCTGTATATTTGTGTGTGCGATCACGCCTTTTCATGGAATATTTATTTATCCACTAACGTTAATAAGGTAACATACCAATATTTCACGAGCGCTGTTTTCAATTTTATCTGAATCGGGATTGGCAAAACGATTTCGATCATGAATGTTACATTTATTCATGGCAGACGCGCGCAGAGAGTAAATTATAATCCCATTATAAGCAGTAACATATAAAAATGTAATAGAATTACTATCTCTTGCGAAGCAAGAATAAAGTTTCGGTTAAATGACATTTCAAACAACGAAGAGACTGAACTAGCATTAATTCTCAACTACATTTCGTTAAAATAAAAAAAATTAACACCATGACATGTGAACCTTAGACAAAATTTGACATATAACATTAGACGTTGGAATTATTATTTCATGCATATTATTCACGGTTTGTGTGGTATTCTTTGAAGGTAATTCGTCGGTGTTGCAACTCATATGCACAATGTTCATAAGGAAAAAGAAGAAGAAGAAGAAGAAGAAGAAGAGAACAGGCTCTCTCAAATGAGGGGACAATGAGTGGTGCCGAGAGAACATGGTGCAAGAGAGGGCAAAAGGAGAATAGACAGATAGCTGGCGGGAGTAGACCCGACTAAGAAAAGTCGAAAATCTTAATTCGGGCGCGGTGCCGCCCTCGCAACGCGATGGGCGGTGACTCGCAAGCGCCGATTGGCCTGGTTCAGGAAAGGGTGAGAGGTCTTGTACGGGGGTGGCAGAGATCTGCGCCGTGACGTCGGGACGGCGGCGTGTGCCGCCGACCGGTTCTACTGGTCTTGTGTGAACGCCAGTCGACGCCGGGCGTCCCAAGCGCGCAGTTGTTGGGAGCTGTTCTCGTACAGCGCCTAGGACGAACGCCGGGTCCTCACGTAACTGACAAGCGACGATAACTCGCCGTACGATATCGCGCGTATATACTCGAGGATCTCGCGATCTTGCTGAGTAAAGAAACGAGAAATATCGGTGTATTCCTTTTTTTCTTGGAATAATCGATATTCGGTATACAACAAGATATGCTTGTTGATTCGAAGAAGTGACATTACGTATATCTCTCGATTTGGGACACGCCGTCTAGGATGTATCGCGGAGACATAATCTTTTACAAAATTTTGACATAGTCCCAGGATCAAATCCTCTTGATGAAAAATTGCACCGGGGATTCCTCGGATCAACGTGAGAAGTGCTTTAACGCTTGTCCTTGCTGGACTCCCGAGGGACGGAACGAGTGTCGTCTCGAGGTAATTGGCAGTGACTGGAGAGATTCGACTGGTGAACCGATAGAATGCGAATGCGGATCTTATACTCGTGACATCGAATTTGTTAATCGGATATCGGTGATGCAGCTACATGCTGGAAGGAGGAAGGGGATGACTGTTAATTTTCTACCGAGGATGGTGGCGGTCTTTGTTTTCGCTTGCCTTCTACTGCAGAATGGTCGGTCGACATTCGCAGCGTTTACTACTGGTAATGTTAAATTTGTCTTACCGCGATCTTTCGAAGAGAAAATATATAAATAATTGTCGATTTTAGTTTAGTCAAATTATTATCATTTATAATTCTACACATACAATTATAACTATCGATAAATCTGTTTCGTATAATAATTGAAGCTAACAATTTATTATAATAAAATATCTCTGCAATATCATTTCTGAAGGTTTCATGAGTCTTAAGGAGGTTTTCGCGTTTGATGAAATATAAGACAAGTCTATAATATACATGTGATACAAAAGTTAATAATATCAATAATATCTAGAAAAAATTTCATTGACTTTTACCGTACACCATTTTGAAGATATTTAATTCTAAATTTATAGAATTTTACATACAAGTTGAAGGTATAACCTTATTCTGTAGTTATTCTTTTTTAAATTGAGACTTTAAATTGAGATTACACTTGCGTATAAGACAGCAATTTAAAAATCGTTATAATTATAAAATAAACATTTAAGTTTGTTCTCGCAAAGTTTCATTTAAACTGACCGTATTACAGTTTATAAGAAATTTATATTTTTCAATGAAAAAAGCTAGAATATATGTCAAATGGACGATGCATATACATCAAATGAGCATCTTACAACTTTTATTTTGTCATTTTGAAAATGTTTAGTAACATAAAATTAACAATAATTATGCATAATGGCATAAAATACTGTTAGTAATCTTTTTATTCCATTATTTTAATTGTTTTACACATTATTATGAATAAACCATCTATTGACTGGGAAGTAGCGCGAGAACCTCCTTAAATAAAAATTTTTTTTTTAATGTAAATTGGCATTTATACTTACTAACAAAAATCATATAATGTTATATTTATAATATTCTGTAGTATTTAATAAAAATGATTACTTATTCTATAGAAAGCCTATTTAAGTTGATTTTCTATTTTTTTTTAGAAAGATACAGTACTTAAATTTTCCTTATTTTTTCTATAAAAAAATATTATTGTTGAACTGAATAACTTGCCAATTTTGAAAACAAATCCTCTTATTTTCCAATCAAGAAATATGATTCGAATAATTTATATTATGCGTATGTATAACATTCATGTACTATAAATTGGCATTCTTGGTTTGGTTCATAACAGAGGTGATAGATAACTTTATTACGAGTTTGTTATACATAATTATTTATAATTATTTATATAATACGATATATATTATAATCACATTAATCTATAGCATAACAATTATAATAGTTCGATTCCGCTATTAATTATATAGTTCCAGTTTTGTATTTGATTAGTATATATTTCAAAAGTTTCACACAATCTAAATATAAACTATTTATCTATAAACCACATATCCCTCACTGGTATCTCCTACGTTTGTTTGTATGGTGACTTAAACCCATACTATTCGATCGGTAATCTCGGATTTAATTTTGGTCACGTTAAATCTGGCGTTGACAATGGTACACAATGTTCCGATATATTGTAGCTTTGCAACGTTATATATGACGAAAATGAATTACTAATTTGCACTGTGGAGTAATCAATGGGTAAAATATAATTTTACAGATCATTTCTTTATAAGGAAGAAAAATTGTACATATTTTTAAATTTAGAGTCCATTCTCCTTCCAATTAAAACCAAAAGTTCAAAAAAATTTTATACATTGAATTTAAATTTTGCGATATAATATTTATTTATATACATACATAACAATATCTATATCTATGTATATTATATATATATATAAAACAATATAATCAGATGTTGTTTTAATATTTTTATTAGAAAGAAATTATCTTTTTTTGAATACATAGATTATAGATGCGTTTCGCTCTAAATCTAAAAATTTGTTGATTATAATTTTTAAAAAATAAACAAAATAATTATTCATTAATGACTATAACGATAGTATCATCGATTACACGGCTAATTGACGATGAAAAAAAACATTTCGTCACGTTATACTTACGAAATAAAATTCATATTCATACATAGGACATGTAGTATAAAGTTAATACGCACGACACTCTTCTTTTCGACGCAATTGAGGTGATCATCGTCGTTTCGAATGACACGTCTTTTCGTTCTCCCTCGTAAGCACTATCACGAAAAAGCTGCTCGAGGGGCTCTAATACCCGAGCTTGCTGAAATTACGCTTCAATGGCGAAATTGCGCTAGGAATGAGCTACGTCCTGCGCGCGTGCTTCACATGCATAATTCATAAGCGAGGCGTCACGGTGAAACCTCGGGCGATAAATATTTTTTGAGGACGGAAGGATGTAAAAGTGCATGCAAATGAATCTGACTGTAATGCAGTGGCTACTACTTACACGGGTATTAAGCTCCCGGCCGGCACACTTTTCTTTCCGCACACTCGCCTTTTACTTTATTATTTCGCGTATACTCCACAATTAAACGGCGAGCGAATAAAATTTTCGGAAGTGGTAGAGTACGAAAGCAGATGCAAATTAATGCTTCTCTTTATGTCGGTGTCGTTTACGTCGTAGTTACACGAAAGCGTTTTTCTTTCCTTACATTTCGTTTCTTTATGAGAATTTATATAAGACATTTATTAGTTATCGTTGTGAGATGCGTATCATAATATTATTACGTAAAACTTCTATTTTAGATGATTTATAATTCATGTCAGAATGTAACATTCAAAAAAGAATAAAACATTTAAAAAGTGTCACAATACACATATATATACATGTATATAAAAAACATATATGTACAGCGGACACACCAAAATCCACGATGTATCAATTTTAAATACTATTTTATCCTAAAATCATTTAAAGTAGGCTTTTTGTTATAAATGTTTAATATCAAATGTATGGATATTGTTTCGGATGTATAAATATAACAATGTGTTTATTGTGTAATAAGAATAAATGCAATAAATTAATAATTTTATTGAAAATAACAAAAATTTTATTAATTTTTATTACAATTGGAGAAATTGTATACATTTAATAAAATATTAATTAAAATTCTTTATGTGAAAGTAATAATATGAAAGTACAATTATCCATATACATATATATTGTACAATACGTATGAGGACTAAAGTAACATAAAATTAAAAAAATAAAAGACAATAGATTTTTGTGAGAATTTCGATAAAACATTTGAAAAAAAATGCGTGATCGGCTGGCCATCACACAATCGAATTTACTCTACTGAAACAATGTGGATGCGTTAAGCCTTGGGGTGGATGGCGTGATTTCCAAATCCAATTGTCTTTACGAACGCACAGATTGTCGGATTTGAAATCGGAATGGCGAGTGGCCATTATCATCCCACCCCCTCCTCTTCCTCTTTCGGTGACAGTCGCGGTGGATGCGAATTTTATACGGTGGTCATTCAATTCTCATGTTACTGCCCTCGAGTGCAATCTCTTAGGTAGCATAGTCTCGCGTCAGATAGAGATAGATAGATCTCTGGTCCACGATCGGGAATATGGAGGGTCTCTCATTGTCTCCATATCTGATCGCACTAAACGACGAATAAAACCACTTTTAGTCTGGTTACTGCCGATTGCCTTGCCGTCGTTAGGTTTAATACGTACTTGGTGTACGTACTCGATCTCCATTCTGCCACCGCCATCGTTGCTGCGCTTGTCTAATTTCAATGGATTATTGAAGAAATTTGATAACCCCCCCTCCCATTGTCGAATCGCATATTGGCTATTTTTGTACACGTTTATCGATGTGTCTTATCGTTGGTGTGTAAAGTTCACCACTCTTATTGTTAGTCGGTATTTGTCTGCTCTTCCCTTCTTCTTTCTTATAATTTTTCTCTTAACTGTCGTTCTCTGTACCAGGGGCTATACGCTTTCCCAACTGTTCTCCGCGAAATTATCTCGTAGCCTAAGGGTTGCCATCTGTTTCGATAGGGGAAGCCACCCCTAATTATGTACGGCGACAGTTGTAAGGGTGCTAAATCTAATATCTAATGTCCTCACAGGAGCGCAAGGACTGTTATACGTGTCGAAAATACGAAAGATGTCCATACATTTTGGTCAATTGTTCAGCTCCGTAAAAGGCGCTCATCCCCCTCAGATAATCATGGTTACGGTACGGTTTATCAAAGAAGAAAAAGTCCTTGGAAATCGTTTAGAGATTCGATATTTACGAATTAGCAGACGTTCAATTCCGAAATATCTTTTTTATACGTATTATGACATTATAAGATGTTCACATAATTATATTTTATAATATTATATTTTTATAACTCACATGGTAATAGTTTATTCAAATTAAAGTCCCAATCAAATTTATTTGAAGAAGTTGTTATTTATTTGCAATTTATTTTTCAAAGCTCATTTCATAAAGGTAAATTTTTAAATGATAAAAAAACTACGTTTGCATTTTGATATATACTTTATTAATTTGTCAAAAACTTTATTGAAGTTGAATTTAGGAATCCACGTGAAAAGGAGTAGAGGTATAAGGTATTTTTGTCAGTATCTTTTCGGTAATTAAAAAAATATCTTTCCTAGTATTTTCATATATATTCCATCATCTTTTTACTATTTTATTGTTACATTACTATTATTACTATTTTATTGTTATTACTTTATTTTGTTATCGTATAATATAATATCCACAAAGTACAAATGTATATATGTATATACGGCGATCGTGCGTCATCTGCCTTTAAGTGGGGTAAAGTGGGTGGACTGGGAGTTGTTCGCTTTTGGACGTATACACATTCGTATATACGTATAAACAGAGAAAGAGAGAGAAAGAGAGAGAGAGAGAGAGGAGAAGATAGAGAAAGAGAGAGAGAGGGGGGGGGACACCCCTGGGATTCTCGCTTCATGCATTTTATATTTCGGCAGACTTTGATTCCTAGACGGGCCGTACGGCTCACGGGAGTAATCCTTAATCTTTGATCGGAAATTATCTTTGATCATGGTTCAGTCATTGGACGTTCTTTCTCGACCCTCTTCTTATCTCTCTGCATCCCTCGGGCAGGTACCTACCCGTGTATGGTAGATACG